GCTGGTTGTCTTCTACTTACGACACAGCTGGCTGGCACACTGCTCGCCATTGCAGTCGCTGCACGCTGCTCCCGTCTTGTATGGGCGCACCGGGTAATTCCCACTGCGAAGGAAAGTACCGCTGCTCTCAAACCACCCGGGCTCTTGGCTCTTGGCCTGGTATTACCTGCCCACCTCTGATACTGCACCAAATGCAGCTCAGTGCTTCTGCTTTGCTTGGTGCACGGCCAAAGTGAGATTTGCAGCATGCCTCAAACTGCCCATAAACACGCTGAGAGGGATTTTATATGCATGCAGTCTCAGCAGTGCTTAAACTTTGTGGTAAAACCTCATTACTTTCAGCAAGGTGAGGCTTTCATTGCTTCATCTAAGCTGAAGAAAATCCTTTGAAGTATATTCACTTTAGGAATTGAAATTGCACATGCATCTTGCTTTGACCCTTGGCAGAGTTGCAAAGAGTTGAAAATCAGATAGATAAAGAACTTATGTTACTGCTTCTCAAAAGCAACAGCCAGAAATGACATTACCCCACTTTTTAGTATGCAACAGCCTGTTTGCGCCATCCTCACCCAGCAGGGAAGGGCCCAGCTTTAAAGCCCTCTCTAGAGCCCCTTGCCTCCCAGAGAGCACCCTTCCTGCTCTGCTGGGTGCTGCTGAAGGTTGAGGGCACCCCTCCCCTTCCCCATGGGGTCCCTGCTGATGCAGGGCAAGCAATCCGGCATGACTTTAGTTGTCTGCATGACACAGATACTGGCTAAGGGGCAGAAGGAGGAAGGTTTGGCTTGTGTTTTTGGGAGATCCAGGCATGAGGCTCAAGGGACAGAGAGCACCTCCTGGCAGCGCTGGCGTACTGCTTGCCTGCGCACAGGGTTTCTACACCATCTAGCATAGTGGGGTGCATAGCAAGTGCTGAGAAGGGAAAAGGGAGGCTGCCCTGGGTGATCAGTGGCTTTTGGATCAAGAACCAGCAGAGGCAATGGTCCCTCAGCCTGTTTGGTTGTGAGGCTTCTGGGGAGAGCGGTTCTGTTGCTTTGGCACAGCAGCAGCTGTGTCATTTCAAGGTATCTGGTCAAGGGTACAGATTCTTCAAGGATGAAGCATGGGCAACTGGAAAGCCAAACTTGCTCAAGTTCATGGGCTGGCATGGCCTTGGCCCAACATGGTATGCATGTAAAGCTTTTAAAGCTGTGTGTAGATTGTGGTGGCTTTAATTAGCTGGAGAAGGGTAAAAACTAGATGCAACAAATACCCTAGTGACAATGCATATGAAGGATCTCCAGATAAACTTTTGCCTTGAGGAGCCTCAGCCTCAGAGGCAGCCCTCAGCCCCAAACTCTCATGCTAAAGCTAAGACTGCAGCTGCAAGCGTTCCACATTTTAATATTTATCCAAACCATTGACCTAGAGGCTTAATTCTGCAGGCACATGTGTAAATATTTTCAGATTTTGGACTTGCACCTTGGCAACCGCCTGGGGCTGTCTTGGCACTCAGGAGCAAGGGATTGGTGTTCCAATGATCACTTTAGTATTTTCATTTTAGTATCTTAAATTTTACCCTTTCTACAAGTGCCACTGCTTTTTGGCTACAATACATAGCCCTCACCTAGCCCAGAAAAGCTGGTTGGACAAAGGTGTATCTCCTTCTCTATTTTGGGGACCGTTTCCTCCCACAAAACACATGAATGGATGGACTGATCTAATAAAGTTGCATGTGGGAGGGAAGGGATAGGACCCAAACCCTGTGAGATATTTATAAGGAAAAACCTTACGCCGGCCCATAGTTGCAGATGAAGTGTGCTGCGTTGGTTATGGAGGAGTACGCCACCCTGGGACAGAAGTGGACAGCACAGCCGACCTTGTAGCTTGTAGCCCAAACAATCTGCAAAGACAGACAGGTGCACCAGTGACAAAAGCTTTGCCTCAGCATCTGAAGCGTTATGGAGAAGACCTGCCCTCCTCTGTTTCACAACAAATTGGCTGAGGAGCACTCCTTGGGCAGGCTTTGTTGGGGAAAGCAGCAGCGATGGATCTTGAAATCATAATTCGTTCTGGAAAATGCCTGATTGTTTTGCCCAATTTACCACATATTTGTTGAAATGACTCTGAAAGAAGGAATAACTGGCTGTAACAGGTAGTTTTCCTTTCTTGCAAAGGAGAAGGTGAAGTTTGTCTCCTTTGCTTCAAGGTAATCCGTTAGCTTTCTGTCTTTCCTGCTGGGGGGAGATCAGATCAAATCTGTGCAGAAAAGGCTGCGTGATCTGCTACAGCTCCCATGAGGGCTGATTGCCCCTGTACTAAATCCAGCAGGGATGTATAGGCAAATTGCCAGAAGGCACTAGTGTTATGGGAGGAGCGGGAACAAGGAGCATGTCCGGGCTGCGGTCCTGCCTTTTAGTGTCACACCCATAACTAAAATAATCTAGAGGTGAGGGCATCATACCATCTAGAGATCCTCTGTCTACCAGGAGCCGTTCAGTTCGATCCAGCATCCTATATCCAGCTCAAAGACTACAGCGCAGCCAAATGCTGCAGTCCTGGAAAAATAAACCTCGTGACAGAAGCAGAGGGGTACCCGGGGGTGATACAACATTGCAATGACTGACGACGTGGGAGATGTGGAGACATCCCGGCAGCACAGGAGATGGAGAAACACACTCGCACCTCCACCAGCTCAAAGGGAAGGCCTGGCCGTTTCTGTCTGTGCCTGTTTGGTGCCAGCTCGGGGAAGAGGGGACAATCCTCAGGCCCCTGAGGGTGTTGTCAGTGCAGCGGCAGAGCAGAAGCTGCTCCCGATGTCAGCCATAGACAACTGCATCCCCCAGGATGGTGAAGGACCCAATGACAGGACCCTCCCCATCCCAGGCGGCCACTGGCTGAGGCATGTGCTGGGGATGTGGTTGTGGTAACTGCAGTAATTGCACCCAGGGGAAACTTCTCTTCTTCACAGGTGGGAAGAAGGGAGAGGAACGAGGGGTTCCCCGAAGGTGCAGTCCCAAGGATGCCTCCCAAAGCTGGCAGACACGCAGCTTCTAATTACAGTCACTATCACCACTGATTCCAAGTAAGAATAATCTTATTTTCTCATTCTCCCCCATGCAAACACCTGGGCTGCACCTCTAGAAACAGCACGGCAAACAGCACCGCGCCTCAGTGCCAGGTAAGGTTTCCAGATGCTAACTCTTGCCGTGTCCTTGTGAGCAAGGTCAAAAAGCAACACACTGTCACCTCTCATCGCTCCTGCACCCAAATATCTTCTCTGCACGCAAGTACCTGTGTGTGTCGTTCAGACACCCCACCAGCTTCAGCTTGTCTCTTCAAGTCCTAAATGCATACGTGTATCTCCGCAAAAAATATTAAATAGCCTCAGGTCAAAATGTAATCCCTAGAGCCACGGTTGCAAGCAGTCCTACTCTCCCATAGCTGTGGTTAGCGATTGCAGGGTTGCACGCCAGTGGCACTCCTCTCCCTCACTTTGCCCCCTTTTTCTGGGAATTGTGGTTGGGAAAAATGTGCATGTGATGCTTGCAGAGCTGTAGACTTCTCTTTATGTGCCAGTACTTCCCCAGCCCTTGGCATGCAGAGGCTGTCTGCCAGAGCTGGGACCTCGTCCCGCCATGCAGCCCACAGCCATTGCCGTTGCCTGGTTTTTGGCCACTGCTTGGCTAAATCTGGCTGCTGTCTTGTTTTCTTCCTGGAAAAAAAATACAACTAGCGTATTTAAAATAATAATGCAGTGACTCTTTTCCTCCCTAAAATGGGGACAGGATAACATCTTGTGCGCAAAGACATAAAACTACAGCACTTGGAGAACAGTTAATCGAATCTTCGACAGAATTATAGAGTTTCTGTGTCAAAATGGCAATGCTGGTTCATGGTTTAGACGGAGAAATGCAATGCCTACCTGCGTATAGTGGCCGCATGCTCCTCTGCACTTATTGGTGGCATAATTGTAGGCGCTGACCTCGTTGTACCAAGACGTGATGGCTCCTTGCACAGTAAACACAGAAAGTGAGCCAGTCCAGAGGTTTTCTCCAACAGGGGTAAATTTGGGGTGAGCCTGTCCTGGATCTTTGAGGTACGTATTATGTTTAAACAGGCACCTCTTTGCCCAGGCTTTCGCGGTCTTTGCCAAATCTGGATCCCAACTCTGCAAGATAAAGACAACTAAAAATCACTTTGGCATCTTAGCAATGCAGTAATTCAGAGTGACTTTCAGGAAAAGCTGGGTCTCAGTAGCGTACGTGCTTTGGGTTCATTTGGTTTTTGCTTCTGCTGAGACAGAGTTACATGGCAAATTGGCTTGTAGGTTCATTTCTGGTTTGAACTTAGTTACACATTAAACTTGAGGAAGTTTTTGGGGTGGTAGGTGATCTTGGCTGACTGGTTTGTGGAACACCAAGAGCTGTACATCAGTCAAATACAGTGTTTGAGGCTCAAGGTGGATTTCCAGGCTGTGCCGGCCATGAGAGAATGTTAATGTAATTTAAACAGCAAATTTACAGGAAATCTGGGGGTTGGGAGGTATGCTCACTGTACCAATCCGAGTGGAGTCTCGTGCAGGCTCATGCTTTAAGGCCACGGCTTGCCAGTCAGTTCACAAGCACGCTGGGATTTTTGGGACAGTTTAAACTCAACCCCTTGCTCTGCATCTTTGTGTTTGGTGGCTTCAAATGTTTGTGGAATCACTCATTCACCTGCTGCTCAACCCTACAGAAAGTGGTTATTTAAGCAATTGTGTTATATAAACGTCTCTTGTTTGCACTGAAGGTGGTGTCTGGTTTTGCTGGGTTTTCTTATGCACACAACTTGATTCAGCAAATACAGTATTGTATCTCCTGGAAAACGCAGTATCAGGAGTGTATGCCTGTAGTTCTAGTTACACTTTGTGTCACGTAAATAAGGTTGTTCAGCATTGCTGAACTATCTTGGATTGGACTTTTTAAAAAAAATAAACTTTTTTTATTTGTCCTTTTCTATATGGATTAAAATATCTCAGCTGCTTGTGCAAACAATAGAATCACTAGAGAAATTATTTTGAATGGATCAGTAACAGTGACTAAGGAAAAGGTGTTTGTTAGATTTTGTGGCTATGTTTTACATAATAAACTTTTTTTGTACCATAGATAAGTCTGAAACAATTTGTGTATTGTTTATGCTACCAATAAGTAGTTAAAAATTGCAAGATCATACCAAAATATATCTACAGAGATTTGAAAATATTTTGTAACCTATGTCTTCCATTTCTTCCTATGGCTGACATTTGTGAGGGGGTGTATTTTCCCACAAAACTAATACATAAATAATTTTCCTAGGAACTCAGTGTATCGAATATTAAAGGTAAACTTGGGGCAGGGAGTCTTATTTCAAGTGAGCAGTTGATATTTCCTTAGATGATAACTTTTAAGGACAGTGAACAAAATCTGGCATTGTACAGAAGTTATATTCCAGTCCTAGCACTACTGCAAGGTAGGACAGAGGACATTTACATCTTTGGCAACGCTCCAAGGTCACAAGGAGAAGACCATGATGAAAGATGTATGACAGTGGTGGATGCATCTTAGTGCTTCACGATCTTGTTTTTCACATTCTGTTTTTCAAGAGTCTGCACATGTCTTTTCTCCTTCATCCAGTATAGTATTAATAATAAGTTTAAAGTTCCATAAAGGTACCCATAATAATAATATTAAAGGTAAATTATCAATTATAAATGTACTTTCCTTTTTGTGTGTGAATGCTTAAGCTGGCTGCCAGTTGAAAAAGCAATGTGCAGTAACAGTTCAGAATGATCTTTAATTTAACTATACTTGTACTCCTTATTTGCATATGAAACTGCACTTACGCAAAAAGATCGGACTAAACTACATTGGCAAAAATGCACAGGACAGGGAGGTTTGCACATAGATATCATTGCTTTTGAGAAAATAGTAATTACAATTTTATTTTTTTTCCCTGTGAACTATCTCTCAGTTTTGATTTTATAACTCATCTGAGTTGCTTGCTGACGCAGGGAGGGAAAATTGAATGTGTGGTAAGTGAAAAGTGATGCGAGGCAGCAGTAAGTCAAAGATGACTGTTGTGCAGCCCTGATGAAA